CCGAGGGTTTCACCTCAAGTACTGTATTAAAAAAGATTGGGCTCCTTGTAAAGTGTTCCTAACTTCCCATTGTATGGTGGATTAAAACACTTGTAAGTACAATTAAAATAAGCTAAAAAAAGTTGTTCCTTTTTGTAAGATTGAGTTGGCTTAGGTTGTCCCCTTGTAAGATACGTTAATTGTTAGTTTACCAGAACTTAAATGTTTTAAATGTCAAAAGCATAGTTGTTTCTCTTACAACCAAATCTTGAGAAACCTACTTCACACCCCGTATGAACTATGCACAAAAATGCATTTTCTTTGTGCTAATAACGAGTAAAGAAAACTTTGCAAGAATCCACAGGTCAGCTTTTTCCTTAATGGTTAATCAAACACGAGACCTTAAAGTCTGAAACACCATATATTGTTTTTTTCCTGATTGAATACAGAAACAAGATGAAGAGTGCATAATATAACTACTTTTTCCGATTCCATAATTGTTATGACACAATTCCACATCTATGTTATTCAACCAAAGATAATCCCACCAAGAGTGGCAAGTGTGTCAGACCTTATGTATGGTGACTTATTGGAAGATGAACAAGGTTTGAAACCAATTTGAACACCGAATTGACACACTCATTTACCACCTTTAGTCGATAGCATAAGAGCTCACAAATTTCAATATTGTTCATTGTTTCTTACCTACCAACACTTTCTAAGAAAAAAAATACAGATACCCCGAAAGTTTTTGTCATTTGAAACGCAGCAGCGCATAAAATGTTATTCTATTCCACAGCAATGACAGGAACTCCTATTCTTCCCAAATAATTGTTCCATGCAAGCTTCAAATCAACTCTTGCAGTGTCTATTTTCACATCCTCACAAGTGGCTTTCAGCATTTACATTGCGTAGCTTTCCTATTGCTTATATAGCGAGACTTTACAATGAAAGTGGCATTGCTTGTTGTCTCTGCCTCCTTGGATCAAGCCCGTGAGAATAACTGTAGTACCAGTTGCGACTACCGAGTTCAATTTTGTACCTCCTCGCAATGATTTTTCTTCAGGTTGTAGGTCTCTAGGCGGCGATTCAAGGGTTTCTAAAAGCCACCTTTGGTAGCAAGCACACGAGTTTCGATAGAAATCAAAATGAGAGCAGGACTTCTGGTGTCCATGGAACAGAAGTGATTAGTGAAAAGGAACAGACAACTGTATTAAAAGTGACTAGCCCACATTGGTCTTCATAGTTGAATGGAATCTTGCACTGAGGCACAAGGGTGACAGAAGCTGGTGGAATGATCTAAAAACAACTAATCTCCTATTGAAAGCCGCAAAGTACCAATTGACGCCTTGCAGAGCATGATAGCCTCGAAACAAATAACAGTAAATACTGATTGAGTACCCATCCCGACGCACGAAATGACAAGAAAATTTGGGGAAGTGTCCAGCTCGAGCAGACGAGAACAGTTTTATGCTTTACAACGAAAGCTTCGCTAGTATAGAATGGGTTTTGACTTGTTCAGAAACAGAGGTTTTCACTTCAAGTACTGTGTTAATTAAGGTTTTGCTCCTAGTGAAGTGTCACAAATTTCCCATTGTAGGGTGGAGTAAAATACTGGTATGTGGAATTAAGACGCACCTTAGCCAATTCCTAAGTTTACAAAAGCGAAAGGCCTGTGTCATCCAATAACTTACCTGGCATTTGTACACTATGGTTTGGTTCTCTACATAATCAGGGGTGGAACGCATGAAATTTAATTGGGAGCAGCCACGGGAGCAGCTGGAACAGCTGTTTTGGAGCAGGTTGGGAGCAGCTAAAACTACATTTTGGAGCAGGCTAGGAGCAGCTCAGATCAATTTTCCTTGCACTTCAGCTTGTGTCTTAGATAAGCACAGGAGCAATTTCAATGGTGCTTTGCAGCACAGATGAGCATAAGTGGTTAGGGACCTAGGTAGACGAGATAACAGTGTAACAGATGCGAAAACTTGAAACTTTGTGAGCCTTAATGAGAACCAAAAAGCAAGTACCATATGTTTCTGAAGATAGTGTCCTTGATATTTTCTGAGTGGCTTTTCGCTGCTCAAAATGCAAACCAGCTCTGCTTATCCCACAACCCCCACGTGCTCGACATAGTTGTTATATGTGCGAACCACGTGTCGTGCGTAGGCAACGGACGTGCAGTTGCACGGAGGATTAGGGCAAGAGATTTCGAGTTGATCCTATTGTGCAACTGAATATCGAAGCAGCAGACTACGAGTAATGGAGTTATCGTATTTGAAGCGATAAGCAGGAGCATTGTTAAAGTACGCCGAGCAGATGTACCTCTCGAGTTAAAGCTGCTGGCCGGCAAGGTTTCGGATCGGACCGCGTTTCAGTTCTATCAAATCAAGATTTATCTTGCACGAATGCATTTTTAACTTCTAACGATGAAGTACTAAAAGGAATCGTTTGCTCATTTGTTTTCAACTGGCTGACGTCCGGATCCCGGGACGAAGAGCCTCAGGCAATCTGACGCTTATCGACTGGACCTGACCTCGGCCGACTTGCTTAACCGCTGATGGTTGAAGAATAACAATCCAGTCGCAGGTGGGGTAGCGCTTAGAATCCGACCCAGAGTTCTTTCGCGCGCTTCCGACTCGAAATACACAGAGAGAATAAACAGAACAAAGGATTGCAAGGCCGACAAAGCTAAACGCGCTCATTGTTGCCAATCGAGTCAATAGAAACCGAAACCAAGACAGAATACAATTGTTTGGCGCACGTTTTGCGATTCGGTGCATAATGGCGCGAGGTATTGGCTGTGACGCAGTTTCTGCAACATGGCGCAGGATGGCGCAGACAAATGCGTCTGGCGCAAAATGGCGCAAATGGCGCAGCCGTTCCACCCCTGATAATGTTTGCAGTTATTAAAAATATGTCGAAAATGTGCCCAATAATCAATGGCAGGGAAACAAATATCTGCTCAAAAAAAAATACCCACTGAGCATGCCAAATTCTGTCAAAAATCATACCTAGGCCAGGAGGTCCTAATTAATGATAGATCGTCATAAATATATTCCAATATCTCTAAAGCTGAGGGTATACAGTAAAACAAAAAAACAAAAAAGACTTGCATTCCCACTGAATAAATTGCGTTCCCCTAGCATCGGTATACTGCTGTTGTGGGCGATGCTTTATGAGGTGCTGGCAAACAAAAACTGCTGCACGAGTTTGATTAATGATTTCATTCAAGAGGATACAGGTGCATGAAATTGTGTCAGGTACGGTTCAGCACACAGGAAATACAGATATGTGCCAGAGAAGCCCTGCTATCATAATTTCTGGTAATAAAAACTCGTAATTTTTTTTTTTTTTTTTGGGGGGGGGGGGGGGAGCCCAAAAATGATTGTTTACTGGATTTCTGCCAAATGTCATCAAGAATTCAATAAAATGGTAAATTCTACAAACAAAATAAAGGTGCAAGCCTCTTACAATTATGCTCACATTGACAATATAATTGAGACAAACACGGCATGCATTGGGGAACTAATTATCATGAATCTTCGATATTGTCCTGAGTTTCTTATTAATAGCAGATAACTAAAAAATAAAGAAACCTTTTGCAGCTAAAGCTGAAGATAAAAACAAAGCCGCGATAACGTCAGAAAGCTGTCAATCGTGGAGTAGTCTGACGTTAGTCGGTCACGTCAGAGCTGATTCAAGCGAAAACCGTCCCATCCGTTCACTGCGTGCCATATCGCTCGAGCCAAACTGACAAGTCCAACTGGAGCACAAAGAGCAAGCGCAACGCAACGAAACAAAAGGGTTAGTGGAGAGATTCGATCAGACCGATTCGAGAGCGTGGAAGTGTCCTGCGGCCCCCGAATGACCCAGATATGGCGGATGTTTATGCTTGTCAATTTCTTTCTTACTTCAACGAGCCCATTAACCCGACACGCAAAGCTCGCCGGTGGCGCGCGCGCGCGAACCGTGGAGCACGATTTGAAAACAAAACAAAAAGAAAAACACGTAAACGTGAGGCAAGGTTCTTTTCATTTGCGTGAGCGACAGGCCGGTCCGATTAAACGCGTTGCCATCGCGTCACTTTCGCCAAGTCGGCGTGCTGAATTAACAGTACTTAATTCAACTAATTTCATATGTTTCTCCTTCGTTGCCTTCATAATGAACATTCCAGCCCCACATCGACGTTGTTTACGTGGTTCAGCTTGCCTTGAACCGCTTCCTCAGCATCTGTGGTCCGACGTTGATATTCTCGTAGATTTCAGACACGCCGGTTATGAAAAAAAAAACTTTGAAACAGACAAAAGTGGAAGAGACAGGGTGTGTCATAATTGTATAAAGTGGTGGCTAAGTTTGTAGAAAAGATAGGAAAGACTTGATTACGACATTGGTTACTTAGTAAACTTAATTCGCCGGTTATCTTCTAAAAGTTTGAAAACGTAGCCAGACGCGCGCGCGGGACGAGTAGCTAAAACTGCTAGGAGCTGAACTGAAAAACGAAAATCGTCAGGCTACAGAACTTTAGAATCACCGGTCCCAGTAGTATGGTCGGAGCGATCTAGTCACAGCGTAAATATAGACGTTGCGAAGCACCCCGTTGAGTCATACGTCGGGGCGCGGTTTCCTCGCACCGGTAGACGTCGAAGCACTACCCGTACACCCGTACTATCGGTACCATCTCGATGTCGGTGACGTGGGGAAAGCATCCCAACTGTCCCAACGTTCTCCCATCGGTGGAATCCGATACCCCCGGCCACAAAAGAGCCACCCGGAACCGGCCTACATAACGGCGGACCGTCCCATCACAAAAAAAGCGAGGACCGTTACCGCACTTTTGAAACCGCGGAAACAGGCGCAGTCGAGTTGTGCGAGGGAAAGGACAAAAAAAAAATATATACCAACAATGAAAGAAAAAGGAGAGCACGACAGCTCTCTGGACCGGCTGGCGTACTACGAACTACTAAATGGACCGGGAAGTTTTTCTTTCGCGCGCGAAAAGAAAAGTCGTTCGGAGAGCTCACCTGAGTTTCAGGTTATCCATGAAGGCGTCGGTGGTGATGTTTTCGAGGAGTACAAAGTCTCCGATCCCGACATCGTCGAAGCCAGCCATCGCGCATTTCACGAGGGGCTGAACCGTACTCTGCGAGATCCGTAGTGTCGTAGAGCTGACAGAAGGACAGAACTCCGTACACTCACCGAGCCGACCGGCAACGTGAGCTTGTTGCAACACACACGCGGCGGCGGCGGTGGCGGCGCGTGTCTCTACCCTTTGCTTTTGCCTCCTCTCCCAGTCTGATTTCTCTCTCCTCCTTGCTCTCGTCGTACATTTTATGCGTGTTTTTTTGTTTTTACTGTGGTGACGCCGGCTGTCGCGTCAGCGCTGAAGCTTCTACTGAGCTGACGCCCTTTTCCTCTCTGTTTTTCTTTTGTTGTAATTTCTTTTTTTTTTTCTTTTTTTTTTTTAATTTGCACGTGCATTATTTGTATTTTTTTCGTGTTCAGGCTTGGCAGTGGCGACCTTGCCTTTCTACTTGGTAGTACCTGCTTGTTTCGCTGCGTCATTGACCTTCAGAGTTCGCCTTATGAAAACGAGTTGATCTGCCCACGCGTTTTGGGGCGTCACCGGCTCCTTTCCGTAACTTCAAAGTTGACGTCTTTCTTTTTTTTAAATTGTATTATGTGTTTGTAATGGTAGTGTCGCACGAAAGCAACCCACGGAACTGCGACATGAAACCTGTGTAGTGTGTTTACAGTTGAAGTAGCTGCTTCCGGCGCTTCGGCAGTGAAACCATCTTGTGCTTCCCATGATTGCTTCGAAACGTATTGAAAGCGTATAACTCAGGTTTCAAGGATAAAGAAACGGGAAAAAAAACAAAAAAAAAAAACATGCTGGTAAAAGCGGGAAAAAAAATGCACCAAGAAATGTAATTGTACGAAGAGTTTATAGCAGGTCGCGCTTTATTTTAATTTCAATTTATTTGACGCGTGCGGTGCCTCAAACAGCTGGTGGGCCTATGGAAGGGGCACAGCCAGTACATACAATTAATGTGGCATATACGTAAGAAAAAAAACAAAAACAAAAAAACAACATGCGAACAAGTATAAACTGTGCAAAAACAGATGAGAAATGCAAATAACTACACGAGAAGGATGAAAAAAAAAACTGAAACTCAATGCAAATGATTTAGTGGCACTTGTTGCTTAGCACATAACGGAAGGGAAAACAAATTATTTAAGCGCTCATTTTTTTGTTTTTTTGAGAAGGCGCTTTTTAGGTGCTGGGAAAATCAGACAGAATATAAAAGAACAAATAGTACTACCTACACCAATAAGTTTATTTATTTACAAATAAATTCAGAGACTAATTTTCGAGGTGTCTGCCAGGAGATCGTACACATGTGGTGCATAGCGCACGCATGGTCCCGCGGTGTTCCAGGTAGATATTTCTTTCTCCAAAAACCCAACGAGAGATGTAAGCGACTGTACGAAAAAATAATTTAAAATATTTTCGAAACTATTTTAGGCTCAAATATGAAGGAAAGAAAAATAAATTACAACGTGCAGCACAGTCTTTGCATAAATATTCCAGAGGATGTCGATTCCTCATACTCTAACTCACAAATTCGATGAAGAGATATTATGGGCCTCAAAATGTTGCCGGCGTGAAGTGATCCCTTGAAACGTCCCTTCAAGGAAATTCCTGTAGCCCACAGGTATGAGAATATTATAGGAGTGCTTACGGCTAATTCGTATATTTCGAAAAGCTTAGCCAACATTTTGAACCCACTCCGGTCATGGCACGTTTTGACATTTTCGGGAGTTACGCTTCTCTCGAATAGGAGGTGACCAGATTCAAGCGTTGTATTTTTTTGATCGGAAGAAATTGAAAAAAAAAAAAAAAAAAAAAAAACGGGCGTCAAACGAGCTCATTTCGATTTTCTGGCACACAAATTGACGAAGACTGGCAATGCTTCCCACAGATGATTCATTTACAGAGCCTATTTGTAATTATATCATACTTCGACGTTATGAAAAGCCTGAATCCAGTAACATCGGTTTAATGATGAAAGTTTGCCATGTCGACTGTCGTTCCTCCCTCATTTTCTACCCATACACCGCACGTTTTCTGGTTTCGAAGAGGCACACGCTTGGTATTCCCTAGCTTTTCTATATTGTTTACGTTTCATTTGCGCTTTCGTCTTCCATGATATCCTTCCATGTCAGCATAACCTGGCAAACGATGAAAGGTATGTGGCGCCAATTAGCCAATCAGAAAGTTGTATCGTGCTTTGCCGCACCGCTTTCACTGGCTCGAAAAGGCCATAACTTTCACTCTATGCCAAGTTACGCTGAAACGGTGTTACAGCCCTCTTTGGCATAGCCCGGGCGGTGCGTGCCTCCAGCAGTCCCTCAATTCGGGGAGAAAGAGCCCAACCCTTAACCGTCAGTCAACGATGGAATCGCGTGCCAGGCGATACAGAACCGAAGGCCGTACGTTGCACTAATCTCCCCACTTTCATATGCAACGAGTCGGAGTGATTCTTGGGCCGACCCAGCTTTCCACACCGCCACCACGAGTGTGGCGGGGCGCAATGTGGGCCAGTGCTGCCGCCGCCGACAGGAACACCATAAATCACGCCGTTGAAGCCAGTTTTGGGACGCAACTTGAGGCGCACACGCGAGCTTCACGCTTGGGCACCCGGAATTCTGCGGCAGCAACCGTCCCTGCATGGTCTCTTTTTTGGCCCCTAAGCTGACCGTCCGGCGGAAGCTACGTGCTCGTCGGACTGGTCGTACGTCGGTCTTTCGCCACGTGATCACGCTCCCGAGCATACAGGCGCGCAGAGAGCGGGCCAATCACGTGACAAAAGGCAGGCGGTTGATTGGTCCGGCGTGCCCGCAGCTCCCATGGCATTATCAGCTCAGGAGTGAGAGGATTGTAAGGTAGGTAGGGTCTCTTGCGTTCATATGTGTTTCGGAACCGTCCCTTCCTGGCAGCCCGTTTACAAGCGGCGTCTCCAAACGGCGTGACGTCGACTTTCACTTTGCAGGAAGGTAGGCGCCGTAAGGATTGTGTATAGTAGGGAGGCTTTTGTTGGGGACTCGAGGGCAGGGTTGGGTTAACGATGCCGAGGATCGGAGTTCAAATGAATTGGGCCCCCAATCAGGCACGTAGCCAGGGGGGCGGCCCATGGTGCCCCCCCCCCCCCCCCCCCCGAAATCTTCCATTTTGCCTGGGTCCTCCTCCCCCCCCCCCCCTCCCTTTCATACAGCAATTTGTCATGACTGTGCCCCCCCTGAAACAAAATCCTGGTTACGTGTCTGCCCCCAATATATGTGTTCTATCGAAGGTTCCCACTTAAAAAGTATAAGACTGAAGCGAGAAAACGATTCCTCTCTCTAATTTACGATCGCAAATAGCGAGCAGCACGTTCGTTTCCAGTAGACAAAAACATAAACCGGGCGTCGCGTTTATGTTTCATTCTCGTTTCTTTACGTCGTTACATCCAGTCATTTATGCCTCCCCCGACACCCCCTAAAACACCCGGCTGTGGCAACACCCGCAGAATTTCCTGCAGAAGGGACACAAACCTATGGTATACACCACCGGGAGCCGCTTTTAAAAATTTACACCCCCCCCCCCCCCCTCCCTTTTCTAGATTGACACTCTGGGTCAGTCCTCTGCTCAAGCAGATGGGGTGAACCAAGCTGTGCGAAAGCGCATCGTCGTTCAACCGTGTCAAAATATACATTGCACCTGTTCGCGTTGTCGGATGTGCTTGACATCTGGGCAAACGAAAGAAAAAGTGCTCAACATTTTTTATTGTCCTCAAGTCAGACCAAAGCAACCTACAGTGATTTACAAGACGAGTAGAAAGGACAAAAGCCTTCCCAAGCTTTTTTTTTTTTTTTTTTGGAGGGGGGGGGGGGGGTTGTTGATTCGGGAATTTCCCCTTCCCTCCTCCCCTGCCTCGGGAAACCTCCAGGGAGGAGAGGGGAGCGGCGTTTCCAGAAGAATAAGGAATTCCACAGTTAGTATGACATGCCATCGAACTGCTGTCCAGAAGACCTAAACTCGTCAAACACAAAGTTGGGGCCGAAGTTCACGGAGCGCACCGATTGGACGATCCCGACGATGACTTCGCACTTTTGTCGCCGGCGTCCCATCGGCGCGCTACGCGAACTTTCGACTCCAACCTTGGGTTTGACGAGTTTAGGTACCGATCAGATCCAAGTAGAAGCTTTAATAAGGATAGATAAGGGCGTGCAGCACCGTGCCGTCGCTTCCCGAAGCAGCGTCGCGTGCAATGGAATCCGCTTTATTATCTCTACGTCGTAGGGTTGATTGCACTGGTACTCTTCATCGGGATCTTTTTTTTTTTTGTTTTGTTTTATCCCGTGAAAGGTGGAATGAGGGAAGAGAAAACGGGTCATTAGCACGACCGAGAACTATCGTCTTTCACAACAGGGCCATGCAAAGTATAAGGTTATCAGAGCCAGGTTTATGCTTCTTCGCGTATCTGTGCGCACGCACACTCGTTATAACAGGCGAGCGGGCAAACTTTAGCGTCAATGGAACACCGCCCAAGAGTATGTATATCATTGAGCTCAATAAACGAAGCTGGATTGTCTAGCTCTAAACAGACCCTCATTATTTATTCAAAGTGCGCACCTGACCCGGCTGATATGCGTCCGCAGCATTGCATTACACAGCTCCCCAATGGCTCCACTCTCGTCATACTCAAATACACAAAATATGAAAGTGCTAACTTGTCTACTTCACAAAAGCTGCCTAAGAACAGTTCACTACTGTTTTAATTATGGTCCTCTGGCATCAAAACAAATGCCGGACGTGGCCGTTTCGAGCAACTGTTTATCCCGCTGTTGGAATGGCTACATTAGCCGGTACGAAAACACCCAAGGACGAATCGCGAATCGAGAAGTATTTGCGTTTCTTAAGCTGGCAGTTACTATAATAAAGGAATATCATAAAAAAAAAAAAAATTAAGACCCTGCACTGTTGCACGCAACAAAAACAGGAACAATCAGTCTGTACTCGAACCGATATTTTTAATCGCCTGCCGTCCCTCAACACAAACGTCAAGGTCCTTTTTTAAAGAGATCATTTGGTCCTTGACATACATGCCGCGTTGTGTCTGAAGACGCCGCATTCGTCCGTCGAAGCAAGGTTTCGACGTTTGCTCTTTATTCTTCTTTTGTTTTTACCCGCGGGAGTTGCGAGCGTTTTTCTTTTTTTCTTTCTAATTATTGCATTTTGTTGATTCGCTTCTTTTTCC